TAGACCCTTCATCAGATTTCTGATGAAGGGTCTAGGCCCGAAACATCAGCCTTCCTGCTCCAATGATGCTGCTTGGCCTGCTGTGTTCATCCAGCTCTACACCTTGTTATCTCAGATTCTCCAGCATTTGCAGTTCCTACTATCCTTGGATGGGAGGTTGGCTTCCATGGTGGCCTGGACTGAGCACACCACCTTGTGTAGTTTCTTACGGTCCTGGGCAGAGCAGTTGCCAAACCAGGCTGTTATGCACCCGGACAGTGTGCTTTCAATGGTGCATCTGTAGAAGTTGGTTATGGATATGACAAATTTCCTGAGCCGCCTGAGGAAGAAGAGGTGTTGTTGTGCCTTCTCCTTCTTGACTTCTTGTGCCATCTTTTAGAGAACTAATTTGAAGGGAGGTTCCAGTAGAGCATTTGAACTCTCCTGCAATCTACATTAATCCTTTGTTGCATTTCTGGTGCATGTTCAATCAATTCAAATTTTGGTTATCTAATGAAACGTTTCATGCACAGATTGCCATATCTTGAATGTAGCAGTAAATACAATATTTGCATTAATGAAGTGTGAACAGAGCAAAACCCTGAAGCCAATAACATTGCTATTTTAAAAATATGAATCAATAGTTGCTGGTTTGAGAACATTTTATAATCTTGGATGAGCAGAATAATTCTCAAGAAGCGTACGATTTTTGCAGCCAGCCAGTATTTTATGCACTTGCCACCAAACCTTTATAATCTCCTAATCTTCAGAAATAAGTTTTAAGACCAATGTGTGAAGTCCAAATTCAGAAGAATCTTGTTCTGTTATGTTGGTATGAGATCAGTTTTTCCCATATATTGCTGCTCATACTTAGATAATAAGAATTCTTGTTCCTTAAGATATAGTCAGTTTAACTCCGCAGATTCTCAACCTTTGGTTGAAAATTTATGCTTCCACGCCTCAGGAGTGTAAAATCAGATGCATTGTTGACATTGTCAAGTCTGTTGTCTATCTACGTTGTATTTTACTGGCATCAGAGGAGCTTTGGACAACCTGCCTTCCTTTGGGCTGACTAAGGCCCTCAAGTGTCTGATTAGTGGCTACTTAAGACTGCTTTCTGCCAGGTGGATGCCCATCCAATGTGATGACGATAATTGTTTTGTGGGCTGAGACAGTGGTCCCTCCTATTTGGCAAAGCTGTGCCTAATGGAGATGACTTCTCTTGTATAGAGTTAAAACTGTATTGATACTGATATATTATATACTGCTCCATGTTCAAGGCTAGTCACCTTTCCCAAGGTGGTGAATGCAAAAAACTTCCCTTCTCCCATTAGTAGAGAAGTCACATGACACCAGCTTTTAGTCCAACAGGTTTATTTGAAATCACAAGCTTTCGAAGAAGGGGCAACGCTTTGAAAGCTTGTGATTTCGAATAAACCTGTTGGACTATAAGCTGGTGTCATGTGATTTTTGACCTTGTCCACCCCAGTCCAACACCGACACTTCCACGTTATGGCCCGTCATTGCATATGCATTTCAACTGAGGGAAAGTGATTTTATTTTTCAGACTGTCGTCTGCAAAACACACCTAAGCTTTTACTGTTCTGTTGCCAATTGATTGGACTTGAGCCATATCAAGAATGCCATGGCTTTCACCTACTTGGAGAATTCCCTCTAAATTGCCTCACAATATGCCAGATATCTTGCATTTGAATAGCATTACATTACTGTTCCTTGCAGCAGCCTCACTGACTAAGATTCATCAGCTAGTGCCAAGCTTTACGGAGATCTGTGCCTAGAGGTTTGGATGTGAGTCCTAAAGCCATTTTACTGGCAAAACACTCTTGGACCTGTGGATGAGAGGGAACTTTCACTGAATTTTACTTCGATTTAGTATTTCCCATGTATCAAGACAAAGCAGACAAAGCCCTTCAATCCTTCCTGTCTGCTCCTGTTCACTGTATCAATCTGAACTAAGTTCAAGCTGAGGGCCATGGAATAACGGCAAGTTGATCTAAACCACAGCTTCTGAACCTTTTTGCTTCTGAGTTGTCTCTCCCATGTTATAAATATCTCTCAGTCCCCTATAACACAACAAAAGTACTTTTATGGGCTATAAAATGAATTATATGTTTTAACACCTCCTATAATTTTTGTTTCACTGAATGTGAAACCTGTTGCTGGTGCTTTTTTTTTTGCAGATCGCTCTGTGGCCTCACTCCTCCCTTTGTGTATAACCTCCTCCAGCCCCACTGACACGTAAGATTTGTGCACTAAGATTTCTGAGAGAAGCCTCGAGACACAGAATTAATAAGTAAAAGATCAAAGATTCATACAACTGATGCGAATGTATTGAATAAACCTAAAATGGTTGACTGACTCCCTCCTGTTAAGTCTTTAATCAGTTAGGGATGAAATGCAGGTTTCGATTGATTAAAATGCAAATCCCAGAATTTCTTTTAAGTCACTGCCCTGATTTAACTAAAGGTTTCATCAATGTATACAAGAGGTGATATCTCAGGTCAGACAATGCATTTTAGGTATGAGGCCTTGTTTAGAATCTGTCTCTGCTTTAACCTGGAGTCAGACTGGTTTTATTTCCAAAGCAGGAATTTATAAAGTGCCCCATTGACTGCCTGTGTCTACAAATGGTGTGCTTTTTGACCAAAATAAAATATATCTACAATTGCAAATCTGCAAATGCAAATTTACCCCATAGATGTGTGTGTGTGTGTGTGTGTGTGTGTGTGTGTGTGTGTGTGTGTGTGTGTGTGTGTGTGTGTTAGAGAGAGAGAGAGAGAGACAGAGGCGGGGTATGGAGGGATTGTTTTACAAGAAGAGGTGAATAGATTTTGCTTTCTTGGAGTATAGAAGAATGAGAGGTGACCTTATTGAGACACACAAGATTCTTAGGGAAGTTGACAGGTTAGGTGCGAAAAGGTTGTTTCCGCGAGAGACCGTCTAGGACTAAAGGCTATCATCTCAAAGTAATGGATCACACTTTTAAGACAGACATTAGGAGGAGTGTTTTCTCTTAAAGGGTAGTGAATTCTTTACCACAGAGAGCTGTTGAAACAGGTCATTAAGTATAAGCAAGGTGGAGATAGACAGATCTTAAATCAGAAAGGAAATCATGGGTTTTGGGAAAAAGCAGGCACATGGAGTTGCGGATTATTGGATCAGCCATGATTGCATTGAATGTAGGGGGCTTATTGTATAGGTGGTAACATATTGGCGCACAGACAGATGATTGTCTGATCAGCAGGAAGCAGAGAGTAGGAGTAGAAAGGGTCTTTTTAGGACCAGCAGGATGTCACAAGTGATGTGCTACAGATCTAACACTAAGGCATGATCAGGATGAAGGGACCAAAGGTATAGTAGCTAAATTTACTGATGACACTAAGGTAGGTAGTAAAGTGAGTTGTGAAGGGGAGATGAGTTTATACATTCTTGTACAAAGGATAGAGACGTAGACTGTTTTCTAAGCAGAGAAAGGCTTTGGAAGTCTGAAGCAGGAAGGGAGTTAGGATTCTGTTAAAGTTAACATGCAGGTTCAGTTGGCAGTTAGGAAGGCAAATGCAATGTTAGCATTCATTTCTTGAGGGCTGGAATACAAGAACAGAGATGTACTGCTGAGGTTATATAAGGCTTTGGTCAGACTGCATTTGGAATATTTTGAGCAGTTTACAGCCCTGTATCTAAGGAAGGATGTGCTGGTGTTGGAGGAGGTCCGGAAGAGGTTTATAAGAATGATCCTGGGTATGAAGGGCTTGTCATATGAGGAGTGGTTGAGGAGTCTGGGTCTGTACTCGATGGAGTTTAGAAGGATGGGGACGGATCTGATTGAGAGGCCTGGGTAGAGTGGGCATGGAGAAGATGTTTCCACTAGTGGAAGAGACTAGGACCTGAGGGCATAGCCTCAGAGTGAAGGAATGACCCTTTGGAACTGAGATGAGAAGGAATTTCTTCAGCCAGAGGGTGGTGAATCTGTGGAACTCATTGCTGCAGAGGACTATGGAGGCCAAGTCAATGAGTGTATTTAAGAGAGAGATATGTTCTTGACTAGTCAGTGGACCAAGATTTGCAAGGTGAAGGGAGGAGAAAGGTGTTGAGAAACCTATCAGTCATGATCAAATGGCAGAGCAGACTGGATGGGTTGAATGGTCTAATTCTGCCCCAATATCTAATGGTCTTATAACGAACGTACAAATGATATCGATAGGTTAAGTGGGTTGGCAAAGATCTGACAAATGGAGTACTATGTGGGAAAGTGTGAAATTGACCTTTTTGGCAAAATGAATAAGAAAGCATATTATCTAAATGGCGAGAGGTTGCAGAGCTCTGACATGCAGAGAGATCCCGGTGTCTGAGTGAATGAATCACAGAACGTTCGTATGCAGGCATGGTGAGTAATCAGGAAAGCTAACAGTGTTAGGGTTTATTGTGAGGAGAATCAAAAACAAGAGTAAGGAGGTTATGCTTCAGTTATACATGGCGTTGGCGAGACCAGATCTGGAGAACTGTGTTCAGTACAGGTCACTGGAATTACAGTAGGATGTTAATGCATTGCAAGCAGTTCTGTGAAGCTTTAGTAAACCTATAGAATGAGCAGATTGCCTTATGAGGAAAGGCTGGGCAGGCTCGGCATATATCCTCTGGAGTTTAGAAAAATCGGAGGTGACTTATATGTTTCAATTAAGATACTAAAGGGACTTGACTGTATGGATGTTGAAGGGATATTTCCTCTTATGGGAGAATCTAGAACTAGGGGTCAGAGTTTAAAAATAAGGGGGTCCCCATTTAGAACAGATGAGGCAATATTTTATCTCTTAGAAGGTCTCGTGTCAAAAGGCAGCGGATGCAGAATCTTTAAATATTTTGAAGGTGGAGATGGACAACTTCTTGATTATCAAGGGAATGAAAGATTATCAGCAATATTAATAGATTTGCGGTTAAAATCAGATCAGCTGTGAACGATGGAGGAGACTTGAAGGGCTGAGTGGCCTATTTCTGCTCCTAGATCTTCTAGTCTTCAGTTAGTTTGTCCAAAAGCTCTGGATTACCTCATTATATCTCTCTGCTTCTTTACTTTGCTTCACCTTTAAAACTCTCAATAAACCTATCACTCAATAGTTTCCTGTCTGATATATCCTAGGTCACTCCTCAGTGTCAAATCAGCTCTGAAAATGCTAATTTGAAGCGTCTGTGATTGATGTGTTACATTAAAGGCACTATTTGAATGTAATCTACACGCTCCAGGCATTTTGGATTGTTAAATTCAATATGGGAGAAAGTTAGCTTCATGGCAACATCAAAACACCCAAGTAGTCATTCAGAATTATTCAGTAGGTACAATATGATATTTTTGAGTTTTGTGAAAAGTTCCAGTGAACTGATGAATAGTATTATCCTTCACTTTCAGATATGTCAGCCTGTATTTTGTGTTCCCTCTTTTTCTGCAAATTTGAAACGTTCTCCGCAACAGGATTTAAATTCTTTTGTGTTTCTTGAAAGATTTTCTTTCTATTGTGTATTCAAATCTTGCCCTCTTGTTCCCTGAGATCTCACTGGCTCTTTTTCAGTGAGAATCCAGTGACTCTGAGTGGCAAGCGATTTGGCCAGTCTGTTTTCCCAGGAACACCTTAACTGTGATGGCGCTGCATTCTCAATCAGCCCAAAAAGGTCCAATAAACCGTCCTGGAAGGTGGGATCCACTTGCTCAGTTTAAAAATCTTTAACTGCGACACCTGTCTTATTGATCCCCTTGAAAACTGGTGGCAACCTCCCTACCCCACACTCCATTGGGATTCCCTATTCTAAATCCCTACCACTCAGTCACCCTTTACTTTGTATTCTAATGGTAGCGGTTTTAATTTTCAGGTGGAGAAACAGAGGCGAATAGAACGAATTAAACAAAAGAGGGCTCAGCTTGAAGAATTGATACTGCAGGTAACAGATACAGCCGTGTCCATATAAAACCTATTTAGTTGTTCGACAGAATAATTGCACCACCGGTGCTTACGTTTGTGTTTGAAGTGCAGTTAAGCCTTTGAATCCTTATGTCAGAATAAAGATGAAGAGAATAAATTAACATGGATAGGTTTTTGTGAGTGGTCTGTATCACATGATGCCACTATAATGGAATAATGCATGAATGTGAGAGTTACATTACTCAGCTTTGGCAATTGTTGTGCTGTGCATACTTAAGCCTTTAAATTATTAGCCGTGCGAACAGATCTGTTGAGAGAAAAATCTAGTAATTTATTTACTTTAATGAAACGACATTTGTAATTGCTTGTGTTTATGCTTGCTTGGCCTATTTGTTAATTTCCTCCACCATGCTCTTAACTCACAAATTATGTTCCATCACTGAGATTGCAGGTAAGAGACCTGGTTTCAAACTTAGACTGTTATGTCTAAAAAAAATGACCTTTTTTCTCCCTCTCTCAATCTTATCCATCCTTCTCCCCAATATGTGGCTTGCCTCCGCTCTTGCTTTTCCTCTTTTGGTACCTCTCAAACTTGGACACGACTGTATGATATTAGCCTCAAATCATCAGCATATTGTAAAGAAAAAAAGAACAGTACAGCACAGGAACAGGCCCTTCGGCCCACCAATCCTATACCGACACTTGACACTTTTCTACACTTTTTGCCTGTACGCGGTCTATATCCCTCTATTCGCTGCCTATTCATTTATCTGTCAAGATGCCTCTTAAACATTGTTATTGTATCCATCTCCGCACCTCCTTTGGCAGCACATTCCAGACACTTACCACCCTCTGTGTTTAAAAAAAAAACCTGCCTTTCAAATCTCCTTTAATCTTTCCCCTTTTATCTTAAATCTATGTCCCCTGGTAATTGACATTTCTATTCTGGAAAATAAAACTCCAACTATCTATTCTATTCGTACATTTCATAATTTTGTAACCCTCTAAATGGTCACCCCTCAGCCTCTGATGTTCAAGTGAAAACAAACCCCAAATTTGTCTAATCTCTCCTCATAGCTAATACCCTCCAAACCACAGAATATTCTGGTAAACCTTTTCTGTAGCCCCTCCAATGCCTCCATATCCTTCTGGTAGTGTGGCAATCAGAACTGAACACAGTATTCCAAATGTAACCTAGCTAAAGTTGTATCCAGCCACAACATGACTTGTTAATTTTTATAAAAACCGAAAGAACTGCAGATGCTGTAAATTAGAAACAAAAACAGAAATTGCTGAAAAAGCTCAGTCGGTCATGCAGCATCTGTGAAGAGAAATCAGAGTCAATGTTTCGGGTCCGGTGACCCTTAAGTTCTGAGGAAAGGTCATCGGACCCAAAACATTAAATGATTTCTCTCCACAGATGCTGCCAGACCTGCTGAACTTTTCCAGCAATTTCAGTTTCTGTTGCCAGTTTTTATACTCTGTGCCCCAATCAATGAAGGAAAGCATGCCATATGCCTTCTTGACCACCTTCCCTAAAACTCAAGTATTTTGTCAGGGCTGTTTATAATTCCTTTGGTCACTTGCCAGAAGACCATCGATGTTCTTTCACAATGTAGATGCATTTAAATAAAGGTAGTTAATCTTTAGTTTCTATTGTGGAATTATATTTTGGGAGGTTTGATACCAAATAGAATCAGTTTTTGGGAGATTTGTCACTGTAATGCTACAATATATGTAAACTATTTAAAAGGCAATATCCTGTTTATTGGTTGTGTATGTCATGGATGCAATTTGTGACTATTCTAAATCATTGCACCAAATGTGAGTTATTTCAATTCCTTCAAGTTCATTGCAAACCAGTATTTGAGAACTGACCAAGTATTATACTACAGCAAGCACTCAGTCTAATAAATGCCCTTTCATTAATTTGCAATGTCTTCCAATAATAAAAAAAGACATTAAGAACCTGCTTGATCTCACACTTAATAGTACACCTTTTTCCCCCGAAGAGTTACTGGAGGCTATCATCTTGCAATTCAATTTAATGCTTCCAAAAATTTATTGCTGCCCAGGGAAAGATTCCCAACGTTTATTTGTCATTTTGCTGATGGTTTGTTTGCCTGTACATTTAAAACTTCAGTGCATGTATTTTTCCTTCTGTTCTAGACGTTACAACATGACCATGACAGACCCAACTGCTCCTAAACATCTAATGTTGCTGTTGGTGGAACCTGTCAGCTAGTGATGAAGGGTTTTGATGGAGTATATAAGGAAAATCTGTTTTATTTTGCTGGAGAACATACATTAAATGGTCAACATGCCTTCCCCAGGGAAAGCAAATGCTTTCAGTCTATTGCCTTTTATGAAGACCCTTCAAAACCCAACTGGCTGTTTCCAGTAATAGCACCTTAAAATTGTCAGTATGAAAGAAATAGGTTAGAAGGGAAAAAAAAATCTTTATATCGAACAATTTTGGAGCGTGATATGATCTGCTCAGACAGTAATTTGGACAGACATCACTGCATGTTTTAATTGACAATTGAATGAAAATTTCAAAGGGAAAGGTGAAGGGTTTTAGTGAGAAGGCAAAGCATAGGCAGTAGACATGGTGTGTCAAATGGGTCTACCTCTGTGCTGTGGTTCTAGGATTTGTAACTGTGGAAAAGAATCTTCATTTCTGTTTCACGCTTACTCTTTCTCTTTTCCCAATCAAAAAACAAATTTAGATTATAATCTCACCATGCAGGAATTAGGTTTGCAATTGGAGACAGCTAGGTAAACCCCACTATGTAATTGTGTCTTATTTGACTTGCTCGATCTGATTCATTTAAATTACCTAATCAACTGATGTGTTGATAAAAAAAAAAATGAGACATTGGCACATCTAAAACTCTTGGGCAAAGTTTTTATTGATTGGCTGTGTAATGAATCATTAATTTCTAACATTGTTCTAATTAATGCTTTCATGTGTCAGCCATAGGAATACACTTTACGTCGTCTTTGTGAAGCCCGCATTCATTGAGCTACCTGTTTCCTTCCTTCCTTTTTGATCTATCATAATAAATAAACTGTGCCATTTCCTTTTGATTTTTTTAATGTGTTTTATCTATGCCTCCTCTTCTTCCAAAGGGCTATTTTTGTATTGCTTCTGATTTTATGGTTTGGTACTTTTTATCTAGGACTTTATTTCATTCAGTGATTGAAATTTGAAGCTTTCTTTTCTGTTTCCCGCTTTACAGCAAATAGCATTCAAAAATCTAGTACAGAGGAACCGACAATCAGAGCAGCAGACACAGAGTCCTCCTGCACCAAACTCGACTATTCAGTTGCCTTTCATCATTGTCAACACGAGCAAACGGACTGTTATAGATTGCAGCATCTCCAGTGATAAGTATGTATCCTTATTATGTGGGGTGCATACTCTCTTGTTTAATCCTCTTCATCTATTTGTTCTTATTACTTAACCTGTCTTCCAGGCTACATTGTTTGTATCATATGGTTAAACACAACAAGAGCTACTTCCCCACAGGAGCTATGTCACAAAATCATGAATAGACTACGATATTGCAAATCAGATGGGAGGATTCATTAAATTGAGAAGTTTATTCTGACAGTTCAGGATATCATTAAGACTAAGGAACAAACAAGATACATCAAGAATTACTCAAGTTGACTATGCTTGCAAAACTACAGTGTGTCCTGTGTTAGATGTGATCCTGTGATTGGATAACATTTGCTGAGCAACTCAAATGATGCTAAGAATTACTCATATAACCAATTTAAGGCTAAAAGTCAGGCTCACAATGTGGTTCACTTATAGACGCTAGAAGTGATATATATTCACGGGTAGGGCCTTGTCCAGTGCAGGCAGAGAAATCAGAAAGATGTGTTATATCTTTTTTCAATGGGAGGCAATGGCCTAGTGGTATTATTGCTTGCCTGTTAATCCAGAGACCCAGGCAATGTTCTGGGAACCTGCATTTGAATCCTGCCGCAGCAGATGGTAGAATTTGAATTCAATAAATATATCTGGAATTAAGAGCCTAATGCTGACCATTAATCCATTGTCATTGTCAGAAAAAAAATCTGATTCACTAATGTCGTTTAGGGAAGGAAATCTGCCATCCTTACCTGGTCTGGCCAACATATGACTCCAATGTATTTGACTCTGGGAAATTAGGAATGGGCAATAAATGCTGGCCTGGCGAGCGATGCCCCCGTCCTGTGAATGAATAATTTTAAAAAAAAAGAAAAACTTGGAGGACATCTATTCACTGGTACATTCACCATGGCAGTGGCTTGACCAGTTGATTTGTCTGATTTGAATTTAAACTCAAGCCTGACCGTTAACTATTTCCTCATGAATTCTCTATAATAACATCTCTGTCAATCAGACCCCATTTACCAACTGACCAGCACCCTCTTGCTATGCAGTATGAATTCCCTTCCCTGTGAGAGTTGGTCTTCTTGTGATTCTGGCCTGGTGGATGCAAAATTGAAAGCTTTAGCAGCAATAGTTTCCCAGCTGTAGTCAAGTTCTGTTTTATCAAGCAATTATTCTCTTATATATTTCAATACCAAGGCAAATGTTAATGCAAACTGAACAGCTGTGGTTTTATAATCAACTGCTCTGTTCATTTCGTTTTAAAGCATTTGATTTTTGTGAACTCTCTCAGGTTTGAATATCTGTTCAACTTTGACAACACATTTGAGATTCATGATGATATTGAAGTACTAAAACGTATGGGAATGTCCTTTGGCTTGGAGTCTGGTAAATGTACACCAGAAAATCTGAAAACTGCCAACTCATTGGTGCCAAAGGTTTTGCAGCCGTATGTTGCAGGTCAGTAGTACCGCAGGATTTTTTTTTAAATGACTGCTTGAAGGTTTACTCTATCCATTATATTTATGTTGCAAACTGCTTCAATTTGCAAGTAAAATTACCTTATTCAAAGCCACCAGCAATTTTCATGTCAGTTTTGGCTTGTTGCAATCATTTCATAACCTTTGTGCTTATGTTTTGCACTTTAGATACACACTATTAGCAAATACATACTGGTTTCAATCTCGGACATTTGCCCTGTGCTGGACAAAGCAAGTCTTGCCATTATGTGTCTATGTAATGTAACAATTGTTTTTCTGGCACCTCAATCTATCTGCTAAACCATTGTCCTTTCTGTTGTGGACTTTGCTTGCCAGGAAATAGCTAGAAGTACCCCAGACTGGCTTCGTTTAAGCCTTTTTGGAGAGAGGAGGCTTTGATCAACTTGGGCTTGGTGCATTCCTATCCAGGCTAATTTTGAAATATTATATGAATATCCTGTAATATTGAGAATATTTTATGTTTCAACTAACTGCAGAATCATCTTTGCAAACAAAACCTGATAACCAGATAGCCTCTGCTTTCTACTCCTGAAATAGAAAAAATGTCTAATTTTCCTCAGGAAGATGTAATAACTCCTCAAAATATTAAAATGTATTATCATAAAAATATCAAACATTGTAAATGTTTCGGAGGGAAGTAAAATCTAATAAAAGAAATCTCAGGATGCAGTGTATTAGTGGTTAGGCTAACTCACTCTTAAATATCTTTTACTCATCACACACCCACATTCCTCCTTTCATGCAGCAAGATCCTGTTTAATGGATCACTCTAAATGTCGTAAAAATCATGATGAAGCTACTCACCATACTGAAAGAGTAAATTGGAAAGCAACTTCCTTTGATGGTGGGTATGCAGTTAGGCATAGAAATTAGGAGGTTGCTGTCTGAGTTGATTTCCTCCTGCAAAAGGTGAGCTAGACTTCCATCTCACCCAGAGGCTGCCCATTCAAATGATGATGTGCGTGTGTAGTTGAGCTTATGCACTAGATAATCATTAAATATTCTAGAAAAAATTGGAGCTATTAGAGTCATAGCGATCTGCAGCACAGATAAAGACCCTTTGGCCCATCATGTCCATGCCAGTCAAAAACAAGCACCTAACTATTCCAATCCCATTTTCCAACATTTGGCCCAGAGTCTTATATGCCTTAGCATCACAGTGCATATCTAAATATTTCTTCAGTATGATGAGGATTTCTGTCTCTACCATCATTACAGGCAGCGAGTTCCAGGCTCCCACCACCCTCTGAGTGAAAAGGTTTTCCTCACATCTCTAAACTTTCTGCCCCTTCCCTTAAATCTATGGTCCCTGGTCATTGATCCCTCCATCAAGGGGAAAAGTTTCCTTTTGTCCACCCTGTCTGCGCCCCTCAAAATTTTATCCATCTCAATCATGTCCCCTCTCAATCTCCTCTGCTCTAACGAAAGCAACCCCAGTCTGTCCAATCTCTCTTCATTACTGAAACTCTCCAGCCTAGGCAATATCCTTACCCTTTCCAGTGCTATCACATCCCTCCTATAATGTGGATTCCAGAACTGCACACAATACTCTAGCTGTGGCCTCAGCAATGTTTCATACAGTTCCAGCATCACCTCCCCCTGCTCTTAACTCAGTGCCTTTACTAATAAAGGCGAATATCCAATATGCCCCCTTAACCACTTAATCCACCTGTCCCGATCTCTTAAGGGACTTGTTTACATGCACACCAAAGTCCCTCTGTGTTGCCCAGGGTTCTACTGTACATCCTGTATCCCCTTGATTTGTTTATGCTGTTCTATTGCATCACGTCAGATTTATCCTGATTTGAATTCAATTTCATACAATCCCTACGGTGTGGAAAGAGGACGTTTGGCAGAGCATCCCACCCTGACCCAGCACCCCCCCCTCCAAAAAAAACCTTAAACCTTGTAACTCCGCATTTATCACGGCTAATCCACCTAACCCCTGCACACCTTTTGGGCTGTGGGAGGAAACCAGAGCACCTGAAGGAAACCCACACAGACGCAGGGAGAATGTGCACACTCCACACGGACAGTTATTCAAGGCTAGAATTGAATCCGGGTCCCTGGCGTTGTGAGGCAGCAGTGTAAACACTGATCCACTGTGCCACCCCTTTGCCACTGATCAGCCCATCTGACCAGTCCGTCGCCAGCCTTTTGTAGTCTAAAGCTATCCTCCTTACTATTTACTACCAATTCTACATACCTCTGAAAGAGGAAAGCCTTGCTAAGGATAGTATTGCGACAAGAAATGAAGTTGCATTTATACAGTGTCACAGAATATCCCAAAATACATCTTAAACAACAAATGTATTTTTGAACTCTTTATTATTATAGTTGTGATGACAAAAGTTTGTTTGCATACAGGAATGTTGCACAAACAGCAAGTAAATTAATGGACAACTAATCAATGTTGAGCATGAAATACTGAACAAGATAGTAACATCTTTTCCTGATTTTTTTTTTCCAATATATACTATATGATCTTTTGCATCTACAAAACATTTGGAACTCCCTCCCAGCAGCACAGTGGATGCTCCTACATTACAGCAGTTTAAGAAGGCAGCTCACCAGCACCTTCTTCAGGGTAATTAAGGAAGAGCAGTAAAAGCTGGCCTAGCTGGCAACGCCCACTTCCCAAGAATGTTAACAAAGCATAATGTCTTAATTTAAAATATTGGCCAAAAGACAACACCTTTGACAACACAGTGTCCCCATTAAATTAGTTGAAAAGGAACATCTCATCCAATTTTAGTATGTCAGAGTTTATTTCAATCCCTTCGGAATTTTTGCCCATCACATCCAGAAAGTGAAATTCTGCCAAAGCAGTTCTAATTGTGAAAGATTTTCATGCTGGAATGGGATTTCTCTCTGGTGTCCTGACCACCTGCACTCCCTCAACCAGCATCACTGAAACAAGTTATCTGATCATCAGTCATATTTCTGTTCCGTGGGACAAAAACACAAGTTGCTGGAAATGCTAAGCAGGTCTGGCAGCACCTGTGAAGAAAAATCAGAGTTCATGTTTCGGGTCTGGTGACCCTTCCTCAGAACTGTTCATTGGGACTCTGTTCATAAATTAGTTGCTGCATTTCCTGCATTACAACAACGACATTTCAACAGTACTCATTTGTCTATGAAATGCTTTGGGATATCCTGAATTTGTAAAAGATGCTATCTAATGCATCTTTCTCAAGTTGATTGACTTACAAATGTCATTCTAATCTTGGATATGAGGAATTATGTATGCATTGAGTGAATGAAAAGTATCATTCTGTTGAGAGTATAGATTTATTGGGTGTTGGGGTACGAGGAGTGCCTCGTTAATGCAAATTACAACTGGCTTGTTGTCCAGGGCTCGCAGAAATCACGTTTTAAAAACAGGTCTTAATTATTGTGCAGCTATTAAAAGTGTTCTCCCTCCCTATAAAAGGTCTGGGAAACAAAGGTACTGCAGTCATAAATTCTGTTGTGACATTGTCAGTTTCAATAGCCACTTGGCTTTAAATAGATCCCATCACTGCTGCTATGAATGCCCTTTTTGAACAGGCCTGGCTCATACTGCAACAGTGCTTTGAGGCAGTTCTATTTCCAGGAATTGTGATGGGACCCCATTTTTTGCCTTTTTGAACTGGTTTACAAATTTGAAAATATTATACTGACACCCATTTTCTCACATGCCGATGCTGAAATGCAGTATTGTTGATTTGTACAGCTGATGAGGGAATGTATAATTATATGCGTCACCTCTCACAATCAGTTAATTTTGTTGACGCTGCATGTATTTCAGTAGATTTTTTTTTTGCGGGGGTGCGGTTAGATTCTCTGAGCATATAATTGCCAGCTAGAGAAAGGAAATACTAAGAGAAATTCAAAGCTTTGTCAAAAACTCCTTTGTTTCATTAAGGTAGGGGGTGAAGAAACAGAGGCTATTTAGTTCCAGCAGCTCCGGTAGCTACCATGGCAACTCTTAGTAACCCATTCCCAATTGACATTCAGAGAATGTTCTTTACGATTCTCTTCTTTTCTTCTGAATTTATTATCATTTATTTTGTGCCTGCTGAAAGCTACTGAACTCGAATTCTGCTGAGTTTCTCTTTGTGAGAAGCAATCTTGAAGGTGTTTTAATAGATTTGTGTGAAAAGCAGAGTAACTACAATAAGAGCAAATATTTAGGGCAAGTCTGTGAGCATGTTAGACACAGCACAAAAAGTGTAGGAAGCGTATGCATTTTGTTATGTAATGGCTGTAGGTTAATTAGAATTTGGATCAGTTCTCAAGGAATCAAGCACGTTGTGCTGTGACGCAAACAGAGTATAAATTTCGACAAATGTTGGGTGATCAGGAGTGTATTTCATATTGCAGAGCTATTTCCAGTGGAAATGGTTCCAGAATGTGTGAAAGATTGCTCTGAATTCACCCTGTTCACTGTGTGAGGTGGGTCAGGAGTGTGATTATATTTTCAAAATAATTCAGTTGATAGTTGCTGAGATATGATCTTGCATATTATCCTACAAATCTACAACGGAGAAAGAGGCCAATCAGCCCATCATGTCTGTACTGGCATTTTGAACAACCTATCTAATTAATCTCATTCTCATTGTTTTCCCAAAGCCCTGCATTTTTCCTTTTAAATGTATAGATAGTTCCCTTCTGAATATTACTAGTAAATCTTCTTACACCACTGATTTCACTCAATGCATGTCAGATCATGATGATAATTGATTTGAAAAAAAAAACACTTCTGAGCTGCCGTCTGGTTCTTTTGCCAATTTCCTTAACTGCCTCTATTAAATCTCCTCTTAACTTCCAGTGTTCTACAAAGAACAATCCCAGTTTCAGTATTTTCTCCCTTTTAACAGTAGTTATTCAATCTTGGTATTGTTCTGATAAGTTTCGTTTGCAGAATGTAACTAGAGGAGCAGATGGATATTTAACTTTCAAGAAAATTTTTGATAA